TGTTGTCTGATTCTGTTTGGATGAGAGCTGCTAAAATATGTCAATTCTAATACATGTTAAGAGAATGAGGACAAAAAAGTGTATGTGCCTTCATGTTTTCAGTGAGTTTGGATGGTAACATATTAATATCATAGGAAGCCTAGAAAGATATTTATTTTGATAACTATGGTAAAAGACAACCTAAGAATGATAACTTATACATGCAGGGGCTGCATTTGCTCTTTTGACTGAGGAAGGTTTAATTTTGACTATGTCCTTTGACTTTGTTTTTGTTCTTATGAAGAAAATATGAGAAACTAGATCATTTTATGAAGTCTTCTGTGGGATACATTGATGTGTCCTATTTTTCATGAATGAGTGATAGCTCTTGAAAACAACAAAATCCACAAAAACAAGTAGCTAGAAATCATCTAATTTAATTACAGAGCCCCATATGTGGGAGCTTCTTGAATTCATCAATTAGAGATGAAATATTGCCTTCTAATTTTCACTGGCTTAATATCATAATACAGAAATAGAAACAGCCCCAGGGTTTAGAGAAACTGGATATAAACTCTTTTGTGAGATGTTTAAACACTGTTTACCAATTCAGGGTGAAAAAAGAAGCCTGGAGCGCTAAAGTGGGATTATGAAGCAGTGAAAATGTTAATGCCTTCTAGAGAAAATACATTAGCCATTGAGCTCAGCAAAAAGTAGAATAACAGAAATCTAGAGGTACACCAATACATCAGTCCCGTATTGGATCAGCACCAATATAGGGAAAATTGACAGTCGGATTGTTTTTCCTGATGTGGCTGATAATGTGGCCAATAAATGCCCCGTGCATGTGCATAGCCACAGCATGCATGGGTCCAGGAGCACAGCCTGGCAAATTGGAGACCAGTGTTGGGATGGTAAGTCTGGTGTGGGGGAAGGGGTGGAGGGAGGGAAGAGGCATGGAGGGGGAAGATGGAGGCCCCTGTGGTGAGGGAGGGAGTGGGGCTGGGACAGGTGCTGCTCAGCCAGGGCGGGGCAGGGCACGGGATGGAGCTGCAAGCGGCTCGTACGGGAGGACGGCGGGGGGTGCAGCTCCCGCCGGTGCATGCGCCCCAGGAGGCATGGGGGCATGTGCCCCTGGATCTGTACATGGGGTGGGGTGCCACTTCAGGCTGGGGCTGTGCTGGACTCTTCCCAGCAGGGGTGTTAGGTCAGGCTGCGCTCAGGGTGGGTGGTAATGGCACTAGGAGAGGGATACAGGTGGGTTATGGCGAATTTTGGGGTGGCTGCAGCCTCCTGTAGCCCCCTCCCAGTGCTGCTATGGCCTGGCCCAGCCCCAGGCCTAGCCCCCAGCAGCAGCCTGCCTTCACCCTGCATGAAGATCCAGGGGCACACCCCCACCCCCCCATTCCCACCTGGGGTGTGTGCAGGGCGGGAGCCGCCCTGCAAACAAGCCACTCATGGCCCCACCCCACTCTCTCCCTCACTGTGGGGGCCTCAATCTGCCCTCCCTCCACCCCTTCCCCCACACCAGACTTAGGAGCCCGATACTGGTTTCCAAGCTGCCTGACTACATGTCCGATTGGTGTCAACCAATATGGCTCCTTAAAAATCAGCCATCAGTAATGGCCAAAAAAATCTCTATCGGTGCACCCCTACAGAAATCATTTGGGTGATCTCAGCAGATTCGTATACATGCAGCTCAAATACCCACTTATCAGTGTGTGTTTGTAATGTACTTCTCATGTAGCAGGCTGTGGACTGTGGGAGGAGTATTAAACAGCATCTAATATTCTCCCTGGCCAAATTGTCTTTAGAGGTCCTGCAAGCACTGGAATGCCTGTACTCTTGCACCTCTAGCAACCAGACATTTTCTGTAAAAAGGCAGGAGCCACTAGTATTACAAATCATCAAGTCAAAGTTTTGGGTATATATGGCAGAATAAAGGGCAGGTACTTCTGTTCACTCATGTTTTGTGCTGCCATCAAAATGTTTATGGAGGCACAAAAGCAATATCTGTTCGCAACCTTAGGGTGCTTATACACGTGACGGTTGCATTCTACACCCCCTAAGTTGAAACAGTGGGTTTTTAATTGAAGCGCACCATTTCTATTTTTACATCACATTATGGTGAGGGACCTGATCCTTTCTTTTCTTTTTTTTTTGTAGGAGTCTGCCCACAGTTGGGGGGTGAGCTACTGGTGGGTCGAGCAGCCCCTGAGCTGTGGGGGGCCCTGATCCTTCGCTTCATGGCAGTGGTGCCCCCTGAGGCTGCCTGGGTGGGCTGCCAGTGGGCTTGGTGATGCCACAGCCAGCTTGGGGGTGGGGAAGAGTTGGATCAAGCTGGGTGCTGCCTCTGAGCTGGGGCAGCACCCGGCCCACTAGCTGCCTACCCGCATGGCCCTGGGGAGTGCCACTACCACAGAGGGAAGGAGCAGGGCCCCCTCCAGCTCAGAGGCCACTCAGCCCGCTGGCACCTCACCCCCTGTCTGTGGGAGAGGTGGGCAGGCTCTGCCAGAAAAAAAAAGGGGAGATCTGGCCCCTCGCCACTTCTGCCTTTAGCAGACACCTGCTGAAAGCAGAAATGGTGGGGGGCCCAATCCTTTTCTTCTGTGGAACCTGCCTGCTTCTCCCGCAGCCCAGGGGGTGAGCTGACAGCTGCAATGCATCATTACAAACTGAACTACATCTGGATGTACTTTAGTGTGCAATGATGCAAAGTCATTTAAAACTCCCAGAACTCTTGAACATGTACAGGGTGATGCCATTAAGCCACACAGTGACATTTTTATCATGAGTACATGTTAATGGAATCACATGTACAAGCACCCTTATAGTCCCAAACTTCTTTCTGGCTTAATTAAGATACCTTTTCACTTGCCCTCCACTATCCTGGGAATCATCTTCATTGTTCTCAACACCTTGAACCCACTGTTCCCTTCCAACACCAGCTGATGGACATTGTGGCCCAAAATATGGAGCACAGAAATGGGACTCCAGATACCTAAATTCTGAAGTCAGGAAGACACCTAAACTTCATACATCTTGAGATAGGGAAGGAGGATGCTCCATGGATTGTAGGAGTTGTGAAGGGTTGTAAAAAGTGGGGAGGCCAGCTGAGACTGAACAAGGATGTGCAGAAAGGACCAGCACAGAAGGGATTAGGCTTAGGGAAAACAGGAGCAAAATATTCTGGAATAGAATTCAGAATTCCTGAGTATCAGCATTCCTCTACTGTCAGCAAATATTTCTAAAACCCACCGGTAAATTTTTCTTTGTAGTGGCTGGCTCACATACTGAAGGTCAATTTACAGAGACTTGCTTATCCTCTTAGCTGAAGTTGGGTTCTGTACTATACCTCAAAAGATTCTAACCATGAGGGAAGCAATATGGTTCTATATGAGGGAAATTCTTTGATATAATAGTGATATAATCGCTAGATAAACACAGGAATATGGTTAAATGTATGAGAATAAGTATTTGTAAGGCCTTGATGTTCTTTTCATAAAGAAGGACAGTGTGTGCAGCACCCAAGTATCTGTCTATGCACTGAGTTCTGAGAGGGCACACACCCCCTGTTGCACAATTTCTTTGGTGGGAAAATTTACAAAAAAGAAAGATCTCACCAGTATGTGACCCTAGCACAAACAGAGCACCAGGAGCTTCTGGCACTTTTATGGGTGTTTTGTTCAACCCAGACTTCTCTTTTCCTCCTTACCCCTTGCCAGAGTCCTACTAACTGTATTTACCCGCATTCCTCAGCCCTGTATCCCTGGTCCATTAAGATTCTCTAGCAGTCTAGGCAAAATCAGGAGGGTCTCTCTCTGTCTCAACTCTCCGTGGCTCCAGAATTGTGTCATCACCCCAAATCCTTATTTTTGAGCTTTGTCAGTAGAGAAAGTTCCCTAAAAAGAAGGACTCATAGCTGATCCTCAGTGGCTCAATGAATACCTCCCTTGCCTTTCCTTCCCTGTCTCTTTTATATATTTGCCTGAATCTTGTCTAAACAAGACACTTATTTTACTGAGAAGGACGGGTGCCTACAGTTAGAGGTCATTACTAGCAGGGCAGCACCGTGAAGGACAAGAGTAAAGAGCACATGAATGGATGGATGCAACCCCCTTCCTGATTATCCTGTTCTCTTTTTCACTATATAGATCAACAGATTTTTGCTTCCTTTTTTCATTTGCAAAAATAAATAAATAAAGACTGCTTTTGCTACATCATGACTGGTATATGTGGCAGTTTCTTAGGTTAAATCCTCAGTCTTACTGAGCACTGGCTCTGCAGTTTTTAAAGGAGAGGAGATAATAGAAGAACTTTTCCATGAGTACAGACTCTAGAGTCTGGTTATTTTTTGTAGTATAGGACTTCATTCATGATCAGGATCGTTTTGTGCTAGGCACTATACAAACATGGAGTAAGAACCAGTCTAAATAAAAAAATATAGATAAAGGGTAGGAGAAAGGAAGTATGTCTTGGTTAATAAATGGGAGTCGAGGCACAAAATGACTGACTTTTTCAAAGTTACGCCCAAAGTCTATGGCAGAACCAGGGCAAAGTCTGATACTAGTACTTAAACAGAGCTTCCTGTTAAAATCACTGCAAGTTTTGCCTCAGAGCTAATGACTTGATCTAGCCGTTTGGATCTAGTTTGCCATTGTATGTTTAACCTAGATTAGTACAGGTGAAATGCTAGTCCTTAGTAATCACAACAATTTATATATATGGTCTCCTGCTAAATAAAATTTAACACAGCGTTGTTCTTTTAAGTCATTTTTATAAACACCATGAAAACACAGAAATAATTGCTTCTACAATCTATTTGGATATGAAGCCAGGGATCGCATGCTGATATCCTGGGACTCCCTCCAACACTGATCTGTGATAATGGGAGAGGCTATAATTAAGCCATGTGAGGCTTCTGTTTGTTTGTAGCATGAAGATTATTTTTGTGCATGTTTGTATTCTAAAAAAAAAAAATGTTGAATTAACCCATGGTTTTCTTTGGATGTTTAAAACAGCCCCTGCCCCGGCACCAGCCCCAGCGCCGACCCTAGCACCAGCACATTCTTACATGCCAGGCCAAGCAGAGCCAGCAAGCCGCCCTCCCTGGGTTACAGATGACTCCTTTTCCCAGAAATTTGCACCTGGGAAAACCACCACCAGTGTCACCAAACATATCCTGCCTCGGGGTGCTCCAGCACCATCTCCTGCCTCGACTTCAGCCTACCCAACTTCGATTTCAGCCTCTTCCCAGGCTCCTGCTGTAGCCCGGGGAACTATTCAAAGGGCTGAGCGTTTTCCAGCCAGCAGCCGAACGCCTCTCTGTGGACACTGTAACAGCATCATTCGGTAAGTTTATGAGCCTCTGGTTGTGGGGTGGGGTGGGGTATGCAGGAGGAAAAGGAGGATTTTTGCTATTGTGTATTTCACTTTTTATCACAGCTAAGTTGTGCATGGTAATCATTTCAAGGATGCTATGGTATCTTTTCTAACGTAATCTTTTCTTTCTTTTTTTGTTTCACCAAGTTTCTGGTCACCCAGGTACATCAGCAACTAAATTAGAAGGACACTGTACAGAGTTTAGGGAGTTGGGGAGGAAATATTTGTGGGGAGGTAGGAAAATGAGACATCATTTTGAAGTAGCAGCCAAATGTAATTGCTGTTTTTGTATCTGGAGAAAGATAATGCCTGCACTCAGTTAACAGCGATTCACTGCATTTTTCTCCCTTCCCATCCTTCAGTTCCTTGTGCTGGACTGATGCCTATTGTTACCCCCATTGAATGCTGCCTGACTTCAAGTAATCCAGGCTTAATGACAGTCTTCTCCATTAGACAGAACTAGTTTGGCACTGGAGAATTGCTGATTGTCACTCTTCTGTTCTCCCATCTAGGAAAACTTCAGTAATAAAACAGTATTCTAATTACTATATCTAATTGTATAATGAAGAGTAAATCACCAAAAAAAACTGAATTTGTCTTCAGCTTAATCAGTTTGCCATTCTGATGATCTGACATATATAAGGACATAGGGAATGCAGTTGTTTTTTAAAATGTACAAGAAAGCAGAATTTTTTTAAAGCTGCTATAAACTATGGATGTGCATATTAACTGTTAGCAAGTTTGGTCATGCTCTCAAATGTCAGCTTTGTACTCCATATTACAAAGTTAGCATGAGAGCTTCCTATTTGAACTCACCCTGTTGTTTTATATTGTGTGATATTTTTTAAGAATTATTTTAAGTGCCCTTCTCTGTGCAAGCAGTTTACAGTTTCTTCTGGTCACCTGTTGCTGGGCAGTCACCTGGTCACCACCCAGCAAAATCAACAAAGACCATTATTGGATAAAGAAAGAGTGCAAGTCTTTCCAGCAGTAATTTTGAACTCTTTTTTTAACTATGAAATATTATAGGTAATTGTCAATGTTTTTTCTTCAAAATTGTTGAGGAAGAGACCCCTTGCAGGTTGCAGGACCTTATTTTAAAAAGCACCCTCAATAGTATCATTCATCTTAGATACTGGTATTTCGTGGTGCAGCATCAGGATCATTAGATGCTTTTGTGATACAAATAAAGTAATAATATTTCACAGGGGTCCTTTCCTGGTAGCCATGGGTCGTTCCTGGCACCCAGAAGAGTTCAACTGTGCTTACTGCAAGACTTCATTGGCAGATGTGTGCTTTGTGGAGGAGCAGAACAGTGTCTATTGTGAGCGTTGTTATGAGCAGTTCTTTGCACCAACCTGTGCCAGATGCCATACCAAGATCATGGGGGTAAGTCTGAAGAACAGCACAACTTCTACTCTAAATCCTCACTCCACTGAAATTAGAAATAGAATCATTTTTATTATAGACGTCTAATTCAGTATTGATTTTTTTTCCAGCTTGTTTTAATAATAGTTTCCTAGTCTCAGAATTCTCCTAAAATAAGAAACATCTGGGATTAGAAAGATGGCTGAAATCTTGGATTTAACAGACTACGTTTATCTATTTATACAGATTTTAAAATCTAAGTGCATTCTAATTTTTTTCTACTCTTTCATGCCCTTCCTTTGATGTCATCATAAGATAGTCACTATGTTGCTTCTACAGCTCTTGCTAATGTTAGTAAAAAATGTGCACACATGAAAGTGTACAATCTCCTTCACACGGTTCTTCATCAAATGTTGTAATAAGTCAAAGTTCTATGGAGCAGGCCCATCCATCTCTCTGTGCACCTCACTTGCTCCAGAGATTAATTTAAGGGGCAGTAACTAAAATTAATGGAACTGAAAACAAGAAAGGAAAAAATAAAGCCCACTTTTTTTTCATATTTTACATACTTGTAATATTGTTCATGCCTACATATAAGAATGATTGGCAGTCTGTCCTCAGATAGCAGGTAATGTTACTAGAGTAGCAGAAGATTATTACAATCTTAGCAGTGGGTAAGAAAACCTGTTTCAAGCATAGATGCCCAAGATGTGACCAGTTCTCCAAAACTGACACATGAGGAATAAAGTGTTGGCTTTAACCAGTCGACCTCTACCCCTGACATCTCTGGGCCCTGGAAGACAGTGCTTTATTACCGGTTAGGAAGAACAGCATATACTTGGGTCATCAAATACTCAGCATCAAATATTCAGGTTTTAGCCCCAGTGAAGTCCTGTTTCTAGAGATTTAGGAGTAATGTTAAAGCAAAGTCACTTTAATATTCTCCAGTTAATGCCAGCACAAGTCAGTTCTCTTTTATGGATTTTCATTAGTGGACTAGCAAAGTTACCAGCTGCTTCTGTTTGCATTAATAAGATTGTCAATCTGTTTCTTGCTTTTTAGCTCTGTGAGGTTCATCCAAGCCTATTTGTCAGACAGAATTGTTTTGCAAACAGTAATACAAGTTAATGAATATTACTGGTGTTTCTGTAATGGGAGATATGGCAAATATAAATGAGGGACTGTGTAGTCTGTCAGTTGAAGCAATGGAATGAAAGCTTTCAATTAACTTTATTCCCTTGTGCCTCAGTCAACAAAGGTTAAAAATGTATAAGGAGCAAGAACCTCAGAATGAATCAGGAGCAGGAGAAAAAAGGAGATAAAACAGCTTAAAAAGTTACTCCCCCAACAGGCTAGTTTGTAACTGCTTTGGGCAACAGCCCCAGCCAGTTAAAATCCATGAAGTTAATAAAGCTAGGTTAATTTACACTAGCTGTGTTTCTGGCCCTTTGAATTCTAAACTAGCTTTCAGGGATATACTGTAGGGCTGTGCGAAATTTTGACGAGTGTTTCGTTTTAAAGCTGTTGCAACTAGTTTCAAGCCTGAAACAGTGAAATTGAAATGAAACAAAAGGCTTTGAAACAGCTTTGAAACTAAATGAGGGCACGCAAAATGTTTTGAAAGTTTCTAAATGTTTTGAGTTTCAAAGCCAGCTTGCTTGCAGCTAAACAGAAACTAAGGAGAGGGGGGGAAGGACAGCTCTGATATTGACATCTAGCTCCCGGATCAATTCCCCAGCTCTCCAATAATTTCCCCAGCTCTTCCCCGGGGGTGTGGGCCCTTGATCTGTGCACCAGGTTTTAGCGGGCTGCCACTGCAAGCTGGGGCCAGCTCAGCAGCTGCTGCTGAGCTATGCTGTACCTGCACAATGGTGTGACTGCCGTGAAGGTGCCAGGCGGGGCGGAGGGATCCCCACTGCCCCACACTGCTCCACACTTCATGGGGGGGCTCGGCCACAAGCCCTCAGACACCCCAATTGCCACTGCTGCAGCAAATGTGGGACTTTTTTTTAAAGCTCCCAAGTCTGCCTGGCGCAGCCCGTGCTGAGCACTGGGAAGTACCCAGTGCCGGTGCTGGCCCCAGATGGCAGTGGCAGCCTGCTGTCATCCCGCATGCAGATCCGGGGAGCCGCACCCCCTGCTGGGCTGTGCCACACTCCTCCTGGGGGGAATGGGCCCCCAGATCAGCATGCAGGATGACAGCAGGCTGCTGCTGCCAGCAAGTGATATTAGTTTTGCTTTGAACAGTTTGAGGTGCAGTTTCACAAAAACCCCTAAACCTCTCTCCTTGAAACATGTTGAGCTTCATGCCCTCAGAGGAGGCTACCATCCCTTCAATTTTCATTTGAATCAGGCAAGAAATGACAAAGTTATAGGCATTTTTGTGATTCCCCATTATAGCCTATGGGCAAAACATTGAAATGTGTTGAAACAGCATCAAAACAGCGAAACAGTTGCAATGAAACAAAACAATAATGCTTCAAAACAGCAAAATGAGATACTCCCTTTGAAATGATGAAATGGAAGTCGAAACAAAAGGGTGCTGTTTCTCACAGCCCTAATATACTGTATTGTCATGGGCACAAGTAAGAATAAAAAATTAGCAGTTTGTCCTGTTTCAGAGCTCAGGAGAACCTGGTAGAGAAAAGTTCCTTGCACAGAAAAGAAGTTTTAATAGGGACTGGAAACTGCATAAAGATCAGGATGAATATTACAGGTTCTGTCTGAGAGAAGAATGTTATGCAAGAAGGGTCTGTATGAGTGCTTGCTTGGGAGAAACAGGTGACCTTCGTTGGATTAGATAAAGCCAGTGGCGATGTGTAGGGGGTGCACGTGGGTGCACGTGAACCCCCTGGTGTGGCGGTGCACCTCCTACAAAAAGGCACCGCCGACACTGTTGGCAGCACCTGTGGGTGGTCGCTGCTCTCCACTGTCAGCAGTGCCTGCAGGAGTTCACCTCTTGCCACCCCGCCACCATCACCACTGGTGGCATCTGCAGGAGGTCCATGATCCCTGCTGGCCACCGTCGATGCTGCTGGTGGTGGCTGTGGGTGGCCACTGGGGGCATGAGTCGTTCCTGGATAAAGCATCCAAGTTGTGAGTACCTGGACTATATGTAAAGCAACCAGTCTATTGCTAACCCTCTGTCACTGAAGACTGACAGTTGTGCAGAATTAGGTCAACATTTGGGGGGGTTGTTAAAGACATGTCCACTACACCTCTTGCTTAAACCAGCAAATTCATTTTCACTTGTCAATTTAAGAGAGTCCAAGTGTCCAGAGGTTTAAAAATTAATACCAGGATTTTTTAAAGGAGCCTACGGAAGAATGCCAGTGAGAGTTTGGAGACAGGCTTCTCTGAAAATTCTAGTTTCCAGCACAACTGAAATGCTTCCACACCAGTATGCTTTTCTTGGTCTTATGTTTTTCTTCTATGTTAAAAGAAAAGCTATATAATTTTGCAAAACTGGTTTCTAGAATTTTTAGAGTTGCAGTATTTATATATAAGAAGTTGCTTCTAGTGATAAAGATTAGCAAATCACTCCACCTTGTAGTTAAGAGCTTTTGAGCGGTGTCAAAGCAAGGGGAGGGAGGACAGGAATGAGAACTGCCTCCATGTCAACTGCCCCAGTGAGAGAACCATCTGCTGTGCTGATGCTTTTAATTGGCTGAACTGAGCTGTTGTTTGTTAGATGTTTGGTGGTTTTGTTTTGACAATAAATCTTATTAGGAGGTTTCCTGTGCTCCAAATGGAGGCAGATTTTTCCCAGATGATTAAACATTGCTACTGGGATTTGTATTTCCTCTTTTCAAAAGGTACATGACCTGCTTGTCTTATATCTTGAGGGAAAGAATTAGCTGATTTCAAAATGTATGTTTTCCAGTAGGTGGTTTCAGTATGTGTGAGCCACTGTCTGTGCTTTACAGGAAGTGATGCATGCCCTCAGGCAAACTTGGCACACAACTTGCTTTGTCTGTGCTGCCTGTAAGAAGCCATTCGGGAATAGCCTCTTCCATATGGAGGATGGGGAGCCCTACTGTGAGAAAGGTATAGCACTCTCAATGCATAATTCTGTTCTGTACTAGTGTTCTTTATGTTGTGTGGAAAATATGACCAATGGCCTACCTACTCTGGTATCTTGTCTTTAATACCAACTAAACAAGCTTATACAAGTGTTTTTCAGTCTGCATTTTTCTACAATGTTATTCCTCTCCTTGTGATAAATTGGTAGACTGTAGCAATCTATATCCACATCTACATTCTTATCTACATCCACATTCCCTCTCTTTATGCCATAGCATGCTGTCTCCCCCTCCCCCCCTTACCTTTTTGCATTTCATCTTTTTTTTTCTTTTCTCCAAATTTGTGTTTGCTTTTTTCTTCTTTTTAACTCCCGGTGGCTTTCCCCTCACACAAAAGCTACATATTTCTGGAAAGACTTCCATTAGGAGCTCCAAGGGTCCATTTTACCATCTAGGGAATTCAACAGTTTAATTTGTAAACTCAGTTCTCATCTCTTGATCTTCATACACCTATTTTCCTGTCACAATCAGACCTTCACACAGGAAATGCTCCCAATTTGTGATTGGTCAATACCATTTTCCAGTACAGGACCTTTCCATTTAGTTTTTTGACAACTCCAAGATTTTTCACCAGTGTGCTCTTAGTAGTGGCTTGTACCCTTCAGACATGATATAAAAGATTGATTTCAGATCATTCTTCAGCTTATCAAAGTCATTCTGAATCCCAACCCTACTATCCAGAGAGTTTACAAGTCCACCCAATGGTGTCATCCACAAATTCGCTAAGTGTGTATTCAGTCTCATCTTCAAGTCATTAATGAAAATATTAAGCAATATTGGAACCGAGGAGAGACCTTTAGGGACTCCTACTTGGTACATCCTCCCAACTAGTCATTGAGCCATTAGTGACTACTTTATGAACACAGTGATCCAACCAGTTTTGTATCCACCTTACAGTATTTTCATCTAGATTGTATGTCCTTAGCTTACTAATAAGGTCACAGGAGAGAGGGTCAAAAGCCTTGTTAAAATCAAGGTATCCCTCTCCATCCACAAAGCTCACCACCTTGTCCTAGAAGGAAATTGCATTGGTCAGGCATTGCTTGCTCCAGAAACATGCTGGCTGTTTCTGATCATCTTGTTTTCCTCCAGGTGCTTAGAAGCCTCAATGACTTTAATGACTTTAAAAAAAATTCTCATGGTTTTTCAGCTTAGGCCATATCTTTTCCAAGATAAAAGTTACTCCAAATTAACAGAATATTAATGTGAGTTAGTATTAACCAGTGTTAATGGCTGCTATGCTCATTTTTATTTAATGTAAGACAGGATGGTATTCCAACATTAAAATAATAAATAATAATAAAATATCCATTGGTGAATATAAACATACACCAATCATGTAAATGTAAGATGTCCTTTTTACAGCACCCTTAATTTTTCATAGTCCATGCATAGTATGTTGTCTGCTGTTTTTGGTACCTATGACTTATACATCACATACATGTTACAGCTAATTTACAAATATTGTGAGAAACAGAACATTGAATATGCTGAACCTTTTGTTTTTATATTCATAACCAAGGATCTGAATTGATGTGGGTTTTCAAATAGAATTTTGTTTAAAGAAGGAAAGGAAGGGGAGGGGAAAAACTGCTCTGAATTTTCATTATGGGAGAGTTTCAGTGGGATGTAGAAAGGAATTCTAAGCACAAAACATTCCAAGAACCGTTACCAAGCACAACTCTGTTTCTTTTGGTGTAATATGATTATACCATAGTTTGTAATATGATTGTTTCAGAGTTTGTCTAAAGTTTGCTTTTTTTATTTTAGATTATGTTGCTTTATTCAGCACAAAATGCCATGGCTGTGATTTTCCTGTTGAGGCAGGGGATAAATTCATAGAAGCTCTTGGACACACTTGGCATGATACCTGCTTCATTTGTGCTGTAAGTTTTTATACTAAAAACTACATAACTTTTGTATAACCTTATCAGAACTTGTGAAGTTACACTGGAAGAACTGGAGACTGTGGTAATATAATGTCGCCTGGGTTGCAGACACGTCAATTTATTTTAGCTACAGATGAGGGATTGTTTTCCTTTTTTCCCCTTCTTTTTACTTTCTTCCAATTTTTACCTAAATAATGGCATTTGATCTTCATTGCTAATGCTTGAGAACAATAAAATAACACATTTCACTTTTGGAAACAGTTGGTACAAACTGTTTTAAAGAGCATTGTTTAGTGTTGTTCCTAACTTGGGTTGCACAAAAGGGCAAACTGGGTTTTAAAATAGGCATCAAGCAGTGAGATTAGCATCAAACTGAAAACTGTGACCAAACATTCTGTTTACACAGTTTTGCAATTTACTTTGTCACACAAAGGACTTGAGGAAACTTGCAGAAAGGAACAGGGCGAACGAATAGTAATTAGCATAGATATTAGTCAGATTAATCAGGCCGAGTGTGTGCGTATGTATATGTAATATACGCAAGGTAAGTGCTGGTAGAATCAATGAGATAAACAGCACTGTGTGCCTCACCTGCACTGATCCACTAAATCACTTTTCCTTGAACTGGTGATGGAATTTAAAGTCTGTTTTAGCTATGAAGAGTAGACATTGTCAGAGACTACAATGACAGCTTTTCCACCATTCACTGAACTCCCCCGTTCCTCAAACTGAATATTTGGACGTGTAAAATTAATTACTAACATCCACGTTAAATTAACTTTCTCCTGCCATCTCCCTGAGACATGATATTAAGTGATGACATATTCTACTTTTCTGAAGTTGGAAGTATCTTTGCAATTTTCCCCATTTGTGTCAGAAAACAAGTTGTTGTTTGCACAAACTAATAGCTAATGTCTCTCTGGTCAACAATATCACTCTTTGGCACAAAAATATACATAGTCACTTCTAGAAGGTACCTTCTTTGAATATTCCCTACAGTCCACTTGCAATTTTAACCACTGACTTAACTGTTCTTTTAGTTAGGAGGAACCAAAGTGGTTGTGGAGTGTTTGTACTCTAAACCCTGTTTTGCTTTTGCACATAAAGGACATGCATGAAGTCACATACCAGCAGTTTTTGCCTCTTAGATACAGTTTGGTATTCTGTTTTGCCCTGTGCACATCCCTGTGAAGAGGGGGAGCCCCAGACCTTGCCAATCTGTAGCCTAGTGGTTAAGGACCCTGTCCAGGGAAGGCAAGATTCAGGTTCTTGATTTCCCCTTGCCAACCCAGAGGTAGTTGGAACCTGCATCTCCTGCTTCCCAGCAAAGTGCTCTAACCATCACCTGACAGGTCAGGAATTGCTCAGAGCACTATTTACCCCTTCACTTGAAGCTAGTGCATGGACATCCATGAGAGAGAGATGTGGAGCCAAGAGGAGGAGAGTAAGCCAGAGGTTGTACAACTTGAGGAGATGGATGCTGCCCTAGAAAGGAGAGGGCTCTGGATTCCAGCCTAGGTCCTGTACCCAATGGGTGGAAACTTTATCCATTTTACCTAGTGACTATTAAATGCAAGGTACACTCAGCCAGCTTCAAAACAAAGTCTGAAGAGAGATATGGGTAATACCTAGACTAGTCATAAATACTTAAGCTTTATTATAAACTAAAATACTTAAGCTTTCTAGATGCAAGATATTCCACAATAGATTCAAGGCACCCCTTGGAAAATCCTAGCTCTTAGTTTTCACTCACTTTTTAACTGTAGAAAAATACTAGAGTAATTCTGTTGCAAAGAACTCAGAAGGACCACAACATGTCAGAATGCTCTAGTTTCTTCCCCTTCCAGTCATCATAGTTTTTGTAGTCTAGGGCAGGTCCAACATTTATGTGCATTCTTGAGCCATCCTATTTTGCTGTGCAGCTGCCCAGCAGCACACAGCCCTACCGAACATGCACAATGGGCACACACAAGCTGCATCACAAACTGTAAGTGCCAAAAATCACAGTTACAGAGCTGTAGACATACCACCAGTGTGTACAAATGAAAACAGGAATTAGCCCTAAGTCTTTGTTCTATCTTAATTCTCACAGCTGCCCCACTCCAATTCATCCTAGTTGCTTTAGGATGAACAATTCAAGTCAAACAGGGATATATGCACGTTATCTATCCATGTATTTCTAACATACTCGTTGCTGTGTTATCATTGTGCAGTGCTTTCCCTCTAGTTAAAATAGCATGCTGTTACACTTAGTACCCTGTATTCCAGAACCCCCCCCCCTCAGCCTGGGATCAAAGATTGAGGAGGCATTGAGATCAGCTAATTATAGCTCATTCTCAGGACTAGATTCTAATAAACTGACTGATTTATAATTCATGTGTTACAGTACTACTCAGAGTTAAGAATACCCAAATCTAGTCATGAAAGTGCAGGCTGAAGACAGATAAAATTAATTAATCATATTCCTGTTTTCTGTTTATTTTAATTTTAGGTGTGCCATGTAAATTTGGAAGGGCAGCCATTTTACTCCAAGAAGGATAAGCCATTATGCAAGAAGCATGCTCATGCCATCAATGTCTAAAGGAAGAGCTGGAAGTCAGTGGCATGGAGAGAAAAGTGGAAAAATGAGCAGTTATAAAAAAGATAACAGTGGCTAACATTTCTCTTTGGGGGAAAAAAAGCTAGGAAGCTATTGAACATTTCTGAAGTTTAATTTTAGTTCATTTTATATGGGCTTTTGCATGGTCTTTATATAAAAAAAAAAACTGAATGAACACCCAAAAGCAAACTAACCAATCTATAGAAAAAAGAATATTACTTCAAAAGTTAGACAAAAAATGTGATTAAATTTTAACCTTTCATATTTAAAAAAATAATAAAACATCAGGTACTTGTTCTAATAAATTACCCAGAACAGCTTTACAGCTGAGACCGTACACTAGTGTTAATGATAACTGAAAGTCATTCTTTGTAACAAAAAAATTAAGTGCCAAAATATTAAACATAGGGTAATTTGTAGAATCTAAATTATAGCTTTAAAATAAAAATAACTAGATCAGGATATCCTCACTGAAACCTGAGCAACAAACATTTTAGACTTTGAAGGCCTAAAGACACCTCACAGGCTATCCCAAATAAGAGGTTTGCCTTGAATCCACATAGAACTGGAATACTACGGACATAATAGGTAATTCAGACTTTGAGAATTATTAGAAAGAGAGACAGAACAATAAATTCCTTAACCTAGCCCCAACTAGGATTGAGATAGGCAAATGTTTAGGTTTACATTTGATCAGTGTAGAAGTCCTTTCCAAGCACAACAGAACACTTCACTGTTGAATTAGAGTGTAAAAGGCACCTGGCTTTCTCCTTTTTTTTTTTGCATATGGGAATTAAGGAATTGGGGGAGTTTAGAAAAGATTCATGTTGTGTTTCTGTTCAAAGTAGATTCATTTTTCCTCTATCTGTCCTGAAAATACATCATACTGTTAAAGTTATTTTGATGCTTAATTCCCCTGATTTCAAATAACTGGGCGCTAGTTACTAGTTACAGCTTCCATTTAGCATGGCTAGGAGGATAGGAGTAGGATAGCCCATTCCCTAGTCTTCTCTAGTCAATCCCAAATGTTTAGAAAAAAAAACATATCTTTTTTCCCCAAGGAAGTCAATGAATACCTATTTAAAAAAAAATCTTAAAGCAGCACCACATCACAGGCACATGCTCTTACTACTGTGATTAGTTTCTTTAATGCAAAACATCCCAAGTGTGGTTGTGTTTGCTGCTGTGAGAAGATAGAATCTGACATTTAGGATAGTATTAACATTTCACCTTTTCTAACACTTTATAATACATTTTCCACTTTATTCTAGCAATTATTTAAAAAAGCTTATGTATTGTTGTGAAAAGCAGCTAATATTTATGGTATTGATGATAGCTTTGGATTCTTAAATTTAAGTATCTGCAATTGTTTTGTATGAGAGAGAGTAGTTTATTGATATTCAGCAAAGAAAAATATTCTGACTTCAACTATAGAATGTTCCATCACTCTTCAAGTTTTACTTGTTTACTTTGAGTGAACATTATGATTGTATTGTGACTCGCAGTTTTAAGTTAATGTGTATGAGGTTCCAGCTACCTGAGGATAAAGTGTATGGGCCTACTCTCCCTTCTACTCTGACCCCCATGCATCTTGGATTTTTGCATAATCTGAATATAGAAGTGGATTGCTTAGTGATGTTTAACTTTTCCCTCCTATTTTTCATGCCCATTTTAGGATATTTGCTATCTTATTTTATAAGGTAGAAGGCACATCCAAAGGGAAATGGGTGAGAATAAAAGGAACTTTTGGCTCTACTGTGCTTGCTCAATCCACACTTAGATTTTGAAAAACTGACAGTCTAAACATGCCCATTTGCAGCTTTGACTTGAGTAGCCTGCACTTATATATTAGAGTATCCTAGTTCTCATATATCTTAGCAGTGTTACAAAGGTTAAATTTTTTTACATGGATGAATTCATCTTAAAACAATTTCTTGAACATATTAGGTACTTTCTCTTTTTCTATAGAAAAGAAAGTTTTCTGCTTCCGAATAGAGTCAAATCCTCAGCCTGATATGGCTCCATCAATTACATTAGCTAAGGATCCAGGTCATTGTATTCTCCAGTGAGTTATAAGCAATGCAAGTTAAAATTAATTTCCATTCACATTTGGTTTCTATTACTTCTTTCTCTAGATACCAAAATAGTATTTTTTATATACTTGTATTTCTTTCAGAGGACAATTCTAGTGCTGTTCAACAGACAATAGAGTGTATCATTCTCTGTCACTTAGAAACAGAGTCAGTATTAATATATATGTTACACCATAAACAGGCTGCACTGAAGCACTTCTGCCAAGCAGTTTGTGTGCCCAGTCCACAGATAGGAGCTATTCTGTATCAGTATTTCTCTACTTTAATAGCCATTTACATGTAGCTGATTGCAGCCCATTTAGCCATTGCGGAGCTAGCTTCAGTCTGGCTAGCAATGCAGATCTGGCTACAGCAGTGAAAAAGGCAGTGTCATGGGCTTCAGCAGGGGCTGTACAAGCCTGCCAGAAATCCTGGGTACAGTGGGACACTAAACAGCCAAGCCAGACTTGAGTCCGGTACTGTTATGAAAATAAACAATTGATTTGTGAGATCCCAGAACATAACTGAAATGAGATTGTATGTTAAAATATTGTAAGAAAATTTAGCATATTTTTTAGTTTTTCTCTTGCTCTTAAGTATAGCAAGAAATTTCCTAATAAATAAGGAGGAAAAACTCTTTATAGAACTTTAAAAAAGATGAAAAAAGAGAAAAAAAAGGAAAAGCATGGCACAAACAAGTGTGGCAGTGTGCAGTTGATTAGAGTACTATAGTTTCCTTGGTCAGCTTGCCCAAGCTTAAATTCATGCTGATGTTCCTTCACTTCAGTTTGTTACACGAGCTACTAAGATTAAAGCCAGTTTGCATTGGCCCATATGTGCTGCAGTTGCCTCTGGCTACATTGTAGGCATGTCCATATTAGTAGCATACAATTAATTTCCAATTTTGATTTGCGTTGCTTCCTAGTAGCCTAAAAATAGGGAATAGTTACCCACACTTGAGGTCAAATACCATTTTTGCACAAACCTCAGACAAAAATGGGTACTATTTTGAATCTTATTTGGGTAGAATACCATGAAATCACCATTATTGTTCTGCCACGTAGAGCAAATTCATAAGAAAAAATAAGATACACACGTCAAACTCAGAATAGGGCCCTTCCTTAATCTGTCACTAGCACAACTGCTGTAGCAAAATATTTTTTATAGGGTGAATAAAGTGTGTTATGTTTCATGTGTTTTAATAATTACCTGGGTGTAAGTCAGACAAAACTTTTTATTCTAATTCCCAGAGGATTTGTCTAGAAGATAAAAAAACAACTGTACCACTGAATGACCAATGGATAAAGATATAAAGCATCAAAACCCATCTTGTTTGCAGTTAAAAATACAGTGAACTCTCTATGCAGTTGAAGATTCAAAATCAGCATGAGACTCTAGAATTTTTTTCTTTTTCTTTTTTTATTTATTTGCAGCACAAAAAGTAAATCGAATGGGTCACCATTTGTTGAGGTCTTTTGAAACATTTCATCTTCTAACTAAAAAAAATTTTAGTTTGGCATATTAGATTCACACGCACACAAAAATCTAATTACCAAATTGTTTGACTTTGGTCCTTCATTGGTCAGGAAATTGAATGAAATGATTTAAGATTTTTTTTTATTTGTGTTTAAGAATGTGAATATCCACAGCACTAAAAACACTTATTAGTGTCTAATGCTGGGCAGTATGTTTAGCTGCAATACTTGTCTCCTGGTAGTAGGCATTAATTTGTTTAGTATTTATAAATGATAAAATTTGCAGCTGATTGATTTATTGCATGCAGTGATCATCCTGGAAGTCTAGCTTTTATAGTGTATTGAAATATTAACATAATACTACAAGTGCCCTTGCTTTTAGATTTTTTTAAAAGTTTCTAGTTGTTATTTCAGAAACAGAATGTAGTATGGTTTATGAGGTGTGAGTGAACATATCTTGCATGAATTATCAGCGCCAACATGAATAAAATATTCTAGCAATAAAAGGGATGTGCAAATACTTATAGAGCTTTCTGTTTGGGGCATATTTATTAATATGGCTTGTCAGCAGTTGATAGCTTTCAGCCAAAGAATGCTGATTAGAAGGCATAAGCAAACATATTCTCTACATCAGAGCCTTAAGATAAAAGAAAATGAATTGATTCAGCTTTCCAGTGCACTATACAAACCCAGAACCTGGTGTTAACTAAATTGTACCATTTAATCAGATATGAGCATGCTCTAAAGATGTAGTGAGTGGTTCTCAAACTTTTAGACGCAAGGTATACCTTGCTACACTCAGCACTCCTCAGAAAATACCACTTCTTAGTTCACTCATTTTTGACCATAGAAAAATGAGAGAACAGTGTTTCCATTGCAAAGAACTCAGAAAGAGAGCAATAGATCACAATGTTTCTAATATTATTAATTCCTATTTGAAATCTCTAGGTTTAGCTCATGAAGCATATTTACACACTTAACAGTGCTAACATTCTGTGGCACCCTGGGATACCCTTGAAAGGATGTCAAGGCACCCCAGTGCCATGGCACCTATATTGAGAATCATTGATGTAGTAGTGTCTGCAAGTTGCAACTGGGCAGGGCTTGTAAAAGTACAGGCCTTATTGTGTCAATAAATACTCCCTAAGTAACTTAATGAGCAAAGGGAAAATTCTGAATGGGGCACATTGGTGCAGTTTGTAGGCTCACCCCCATTGTGCAGGTTGTTCTTCTTTTGTTTCCAAGCCAAAGTGACTTTAAAAAATATAGAAAAAAAGTCTAATTCTCTAATTGAACTCTTATGCTGGGTTGAACTTCCAATGGAAGAAATGGCTCTTCATGTAACACTATAAAGAATTTTTATTGCATAAGCTACTAAAACAGAATTTTTTTCTTACTGTAACCCATAAACCTCTTCTCTTTTGTCTCCTCACAAAGGTATTTAAAAGATCTAATTACTATAGATTATATTAAACTTGATTAAAAGTTGCATAGATAATAAAGTGGCAACCTGAGCTTTAAATGGCACAAGAAAGCTCTCTATCAGGAACTGCAATTTTTTGCATTTTGATTTTATTCTACAGCCATACTTGTTTATGATGTGTGTGAAAGAAGTAAGACTCAGTTACACAGGAATGCATTAGATAAACAAGTCCATAGAAAGCAAACATGTAATTCACCTTTAATGCTGAATCACTGTTGTTCATATATTTCTATTCTGACCCTGTACATTTTGCATTTAAGAAATCCTTAATGTAAGGGAAATTGTACTTCACTAAGAATGGAGTCTATTATGTTTGCTGTTGTTTATTTTTAACAACAAATATTAACTGGAGTTCTGCTGATTAAGAAAGAGGATTTGTAAAAAAATGACTGTAAACCATCCTTGAATGCATAATAACTTGCTTTATTCTCATGGCCAAAACAAAGCTATAGATGAGATGGAATGTTTAGGCAAAAATTCCTTCCTGTATACCTAATGCATGACATTAGATGTCTTTTAAAGATGCAAGTGGCAAGGATTTCTTAGGGTGATATCTGTTATTGGACCAATAACGTAGTTGGGATAAAGTTCAACAAGCTTTCAAATGCAAAATATTCTTTCTCAGGTCTTCCCCTTTTATCTTTAGGTTGTGGATTTTGCAGTGTAAGCAGCAGATTTTGATATCTTCCATGATGCAGTAGGGTAACAGTGATGTAGCCACAGTGGTTCAGAAATTATGCAAGAGGCAAGGATTTCTTAGGGTGGTATCTTTTATTGGACGAACTTTTGTATTGGACCAACTAATTTTAAAGATGCGGGCTTTGTTCCTCTGAGGAAGGGCAAACCACAATAAATAAATAAATAATTTAATGAAATCCTTATAGTACAGAGATACCATTTAATTGGAAGTATTCTAAAATACTTGTTGGACAGCACTCCTTGCTTTCTTCGGTTCCTTCCAAGTTCCATCTGAGGCATTTTTCTTGTGATTTAACATTAACAGTTTGTTTGGTCTTGATAAATTGAATCAACTGTAGGAGACTGGACCTCTGGGTCTAGGAGTTCCCTTTGAGCCCTCTGTTCAAGGGCCTCTGTTACTTCAAGCAGGGAAAAAACAACAGGCAAGGGCTGTCACAGAGCAGAGGTAGTGTGGCAGAAGGCCACCTCTGTTTCTTCCCAAAAACTCTGCTCTGTGACAGTTTGGTTAGTATGGGCCCTGCAGATCAAAGGCTACCCCAGCCACCCTGTTTGCTTTGTGAGATTTTTCTGATACTGCTCAACTCTGTGCCCTGTTCCAAACCTACTCCTTGTAACCAGTGGGGTTCTCCTTTGTACCTAGCATGGTAGATTTATTGGGAGTAGGTCTAGATTATGCCTTGGGATTCCCTTGGTTCGGCTGACTAAGGGAGACCACTATTTGTGCTTCTAACTGAGGAAAGCATCCTGAGTTCTTGAAGTGAGTCAAGTATCCTCAAGGGCTACTAGGCCTGTATTTCCCAGGGGGCACCATGCCAGGATCAAGCCCATCCCTGTGTGATGGCAGCAATACCCCCAGGCTAGTAGGTGTATTCCAGGTAGGGGGCTGGCCAGACGTGAGGCACCCCTGGGAAGGCACTCAGAGCCTGGAAGATGGTCGGGCACGGTGAGATGGGTGGCTCAGCACAGGAGCACCCCCTACTGGCTTGCCACAAGGGCTACAATGTGATATAGGCTACTGAGTAAAAAATAGTTGCAAGAAGTTAAGTAGCCAAAGGAGATAAAGACTGCAGCAGAGGAGAGGAAGTGAAATATGGGGCTATGAGGAAATCTGTGTCTAGTTGGAGACTATATGATTGGAAGGGATGAAGCCCAGGTATTAGAAACCTGACTTCTGGGCCAGAGAATGCTGGCAAATGCAGGAGGCTGGAGAGAGCATTTTATTGGGGGATAGTTTGTTTACACCGGCTGTAAAGGCTGTGAGGTGTGGGCATGTCTATGGCTTGAGGCCAGGGAAGACAGCTTAGTGTAGCAGACTTAGGACCCAGGCAAACCCATTCATCAGGGAGGCTAGCATAAAATACCTCTACAGGGACAGGCCACAGTGGTGCTGGGGAGGCACTGAATGTTTTTAATTGTAGGCCTAGAGCCCATTGGATTAAGTTAGGGCCAGGGTGTCTGGTTGTGGCCTTGAACCAGGGGCCTTGGCCTGATCAGCAGGGTTGCTCAGGCTGTTCAAGGCTGTCCTGAAGCTTCCAGCAGGGCTTAGCCCTCTGCTCATACACTAGCACTGGAGTGGCTGGCCAGAGTCAGCTGACCTTCCAATTCCCCCATATAAACTCCTGACCTGGAGCAGCCTTATGTAAAGGGCTGACCTGGAACCGGAAGTGTCTGCACAACTAGCCTCTAGCTGATCCCAGGCAGCCTAGTTGTTCCTTCTCACTTGTGCTCTAATTGGTCTCTATTTGAGCTCCTGGCTTCCTGACCCAGCTTGCTGTCTGACTCTGCTCTCTTCCCTATTCACTAACTTCCTGACTCAGCCTGTTCTTGGACCTAGACCCTGTTCTTGGACTGATCTACTGGCTTCCTGACCAGGCTTGTCCCTGGAATCTGTTCATTCCCCTGACCCTGGTCAGCACCTCAATCCTATACCTGGCCACCTGTGGCCTGGTGTACCAAAGAGACCTGGTTGATAGTACCATCTGCTAAGCTTGGATAAAAGGAGAATTAGAAAGCCAGAGGGAGTTACTGTTGCATTCTGCATTTTGGACTGCAGGCTTAGGGCCTGGTGAATCTAGGCAGACCAAGGGGACTGGTGCAGAGAGATATAGGGAGAGCAAGGCAGCTCAGGCCAGCCAGAAGGAGCCCAGAGGTCTGTGTCAAAGGGCCAAGAGCCCAGAGTTAAATGATCAATTTGACTGACATGGAGAATAAGAGGTCCCCTGCTCAGGGCATTGAACTGAGAGCCCAGTGATGAGCAGAGCAGAGTGAAGCTCCCAAAGTTCACTCTGGTTTCTAGGGCAGTCTCCCCATTGTGTGATCAGTTTACAATTAAGGGGTGGCAGCCAAGGTAGTAGGGTGGTACCCTGGGAGGCTGCCGGAGGGGTGCCTCAGACACCTAGAAGTCGGTATTGTCACATGTAAACAAAAATATGTAGGTGAGGCATATGCGTACTAGGAGACAACAACATTGAGACATAGATTCCCTTTTGATGAATGCAGTTTGTACCTGCAAAATGTGAACCTGCATTTTTATATGTAAAGAATTAATTACCTATGCTGAGTACATGACCCTTTAACTACCTGATTGGTCCTTGCTCTCAGGTAGTTAAATATTTGATGTGACTAATTTTTGGCCAAACTGAAAATGTGAAGGCTTAATGGAAAAATTTAATTTTGAAAATTTGGCTCTAAAAAAAAACATTCCCTAAGGAATAAAATAAATTATTATTTGTGCTAAGATTGTGAATATTTAAATCAAAACAATAATTCCTTCTTGGGACAATGTTTGATGGCATTAACTTTATCAAGTTTTCATGAGTAACAAGCAAAGTTTTCAGATCAAGCCTATAGGTGAGGCAATGTCATCATCTAGTTATGTGAGCATGAAACTAGAAATCAGAATATCCTCAACTTGTAATTTTGACTCTGCCTTCTTTTTTTGGGTTTAGATCACTTAATCTTGCTGTATCTCTTTTCCCATCTGAAAACAAGAATGGTACTACTTGTCTTCCACACTATAAATGAAAAGGATTAGTATGTGAAGGACCAAAATGTATATTTTTGGAAAAAAGCCAGCACAAGTATCGAGTAATATATGTAATCTTAAGAAGCAGCATTTGGCATGATTTATCTAAAAACCAAACATTTGCATCTTATATTTCCTATTAATCCTAAATAATTAAAAGAAAATAAGAGCAAATATAGCAATTTTTAACAAAACATTTGAAAATAATTTCCTTGTGTTTATCTGTCAGTACTAGAGTTCAAGCTTTTGCAACAGCTGAAGCAATCAGTCACTTCTAAGGCAGAAGGAATGAAGATCACTGTGCTCTAGATGCAAGTGATACTATCACTTTCTGCAGAAGAGTTACACAATACAGAATCAAAGTTTAAAAACAAATGAACAAAATACCCTTTAAACTGAGTACTTTGCTATCACTTGAAAGCATCCACATATTCTATTAGGGCTTAACTATGTTCCCTTTAGTTTGAGCAGTACTGTTGAAATAATCAAGTCATTACTGATTTGGAATTTAAGCATACAGTGCATTTTTTTATTTAAAAAAAAGTCATCTTCAAAAGTGTCAACACTGTCTACTAAAATAGTACCAGAAGGGTAGGGTTATTCTATGTGCCTTATTTAGAACAGTGTACATAGTGGAAGGTCACTGGACTTTTCCTAACTTCCTTCTAAATAGGTGATACCAGTTCTTGTTATCTGGTGGATAACGTGGAATTTCTGCAATTTTTCAGAATTATTAGTGGTATGATTCCTTATTAAGAAGAATATAAGGGTAAGCTAGAAGTTAGAAAGCCTAAAAAGGTCTAAGTTCTAGCTACAATGAATACAAAAATTAAAGGAAAATAGTTTTGCAACAGGCTAAGTAAACATTATCATGATAGCAGCATAGAAGAGGTCTGTAGTTTCAAGAACTTATTTCTAGAGAAAAGAGAGGAGAATAAAGAAAGCTCTTTTTATGTGAGTAACAAATTTCTGCCACCTGCATTATGTGAACTAGCTTCAGAATTGGAGTTTTTCTGAGCTGACATTGCTGCGTTACTGTAGGCTAGGCTGAACCCAAACTCGCAGAAGTTTCAGTTTATTTGGTAGATTTAATTTTGAGCTGATGGATTTTAAAAGGCTCCAGTTTTCCCCCGAGTCACTCACTCACTCAGCTTTGCATTACACATTTTATACCACGTTGAAAAGTCTGATGGTGTTGATTACACCTGTGTATCCATCTATGACTTTTAGGATAGGAGGAGCTTCCTAAATTATTACATTTCTAGTGGTAAATACTAAGGGGATTATCTACCTCCTATAAACATGTATGGCTGGTTGCAACTGTCTCGGACGGCCAGAGCCAACTCGAGTTGCATTAGAAATTGGTCGTACATTAGGGCGGGCTGGTGAATGGAGAGGCAGACACAACTTATTGGTTGCAAAAAACTTTACTCACACCGCTTGCAATCACGACGCAGGTGGTCCGGTCGTCTGAACAACCACGCAAGTTGTTCCAGCTGGCAGGGCCCAAGCCAGTTAATCCATCTGCAATTCGAAGCTGGCGGGGAAAGGGGTACATCTGGGGTTGCGCTCAGCGACGGGAAGAAAGATCGATAGGTGATCAGTCTATCGATCGGCAGCCGCAAGTCAGATAACTTCAGAGACACTCTGCAGCATGCTCGACTTGGGCGGAAGTCGCGCGGAATTTTAAACTGCCAGGGAGCCAATTCCTAGCTGCCACGTGTGAATAATTTAGCACTGGCCAATAGCGGGGCACAAATTTACATTCGAATAGCGGGAACTCTTTGCACCGTGCATTTCTGTGCTGCAAAGAAGAAATGCATCCTGCAAAGGAAACTGCAAATTGGCAGGAACTCTCTCCTACACGCGGGTTCTCAATTGCAGCAGAACACTCTGCTGTGCAAAGGAGCTCTCATGTGGCCAAGAAATTCCATAGTGCCGAGGCACAAAAATCACTGGGTCATGACAGCAACAAGAGACTTCATCAGCTTCTTAGTTTATGCACTCATAGGGCGTGTCCAGATGAGCCCGCACATGCCTCTTGCAGCTTCTCAAACCCCTTTGAGACACTGCAAGACACATGTGCAGGAGCAGGAAAAGGTTCCCCCCACTGCAAGTTTGCAGTATGGGGCAGAATTAGACCCCTGGATATCCAGGGATCAAAAAAAAAAAAAGTGAAAAAAAGGGGGGCAACAGCAGGCTGGGTCCTCCATAGAGATGTTCTGGCTGCCAGAGCGTCTCTGTGGTTGGCCCTCGCCCTGGTGCTGAAGCATGAATTCTGCCGGTGCAGGTAAGGCAGCGTGCCAGAAGCAGGGCTCCAGTGCCGGTAAGTAAGGGATTAGGGGGCTGGAAGAGGGGGGAGGGGACTATGAGGGGACCTCCACTGGCTCTGCCTGCTCCCCCAGCCCCTCAATCCCTGCCCTGCCTGGCCCAACCCCCTGCCTGCCCCCCAAGCCCCCCAAATTCCTTTCCTGACCAGCCCCACCCCCATCCCCCCAAGTCTCTCCAGTCCCTGGCCCCCAACCCCAGCATCCCCACAATTAAAAAAAAAAAAAACCCAAAAACCCTGGCACTTACTGGTAGTCCAGCTGCTGTGGGGGTCACTGGGGCCCCACCCGCAGAGCACGGGGCAAGGTGGCAGTCCCAGTGGCCCCAGCCCAGGCCCTGCTGCCCCCGCTGCCCTGTGCTGCCCAGGAAGGCTCTGCCAGGAGGCCCCAAAGCCCCCCCACAGCTGCTGCTTTTATGGTGAGTTTAGCCCCTGTTAGGGGGGCTGTAGCCCCTGTGCAGGGGGCTGTTACCGCTGGTGGGGTGCTGTAGCCCCTATGCGGAGGCTTTTACCCCTGGTGGGGGGCTGTAACCCCTGTGGGGGGCAGCAAAACATATAGGTATTTAGAATTCATTTCATCATGATGATAAAGACACTGGTAGATATCCAAATGGCTTTAATACTGTAGATATATCAATAAAACATGCCCAACTGATCTCTCTCTCTCTCTCTCTCTATATATATATATATAGTGGTCTTTTGTTTTCGTTGTGGAGGAACATGGATTTCAGGGTATTTTACAGAGTGACTTTGGGATTTTTTTTATCAGGGATTTTTCAGATTTCCAATAGGGAATGCCAGAATTCCTTCTAGGGAGGCGAGTGGCAGGACCCTGCCTGCTCAGGGCTGGCATCTTGGACCCAGCTGAAAATGGCTGACCTCCTGGCCAAATGGGGCCAGGAGGACATGCTTCGACAGTTCACAGCAGGCCACCACACTGGGAGCATCTTCCAGGCAACAGCTGGCCAGATGGACGGGCAGGGGCACACATGGCAGTAGTGCTGCACAAAGGCCA